TTGATGGAAGTTGCTCTAGTTGAGTTTCAGGGCTCTCTTGCGGCTATTTATTTAGAGTCCAAGGTCAATCCTTTTTTTGTTGAGATTTGGGCTTGGAATGCGCGAGGCAGCTCCTGGTCCCTTGTCTCCACATTCGATATCCCTGCAGCTGTTGCTCCTCGTGGGGTGCTGCACCTCTACAACGATGATAAACTGTTTTATGAGGACTCCAAAGGTGACTTGATGCTTTATGATCATGCTACCAGACTGCTGGAGAATTTTTGGATCCCTATCGATAGAAGAGGGTTTGCGCAGTTTTTCCCTTATGTCAAGAGCTCTGTTGCTTCTAGCTCCAGCGATTAATCTGCAGAAAATTTAGTTAGAAATCGTATTTATTGGTTTGGTGTCATCTTCTTTGTTTGAATGTCGTGTTATATTTATCTGGTGTGTTGGTTATTGGATTGGCAATGATACATACAGTGACGGCGGATTTAAGGTCTCACATTAGATCATTTGTTCCAAGACCTCCTAGCTGGGTTGAGTTACTCTCTCTCCTCCAACCTATCTTACACATCCTCTCTTCACATTTAGCATGATACATGTATTCTGTCTAACCCCAGCATGGCTAAAGAGTTGTTTTCTAGTTTTAATTATTTTGTTGGCCTTTATATTTGCTCATTTATTTTTTTCAAATTTTATTGGACTTATGGTGGATGAATTGTTCTGAAATTTTTATTGTTAAACAGGTTTACTGTTAGATGCATAATGTAAATAATTACCATATGGTAGTGAACACATTAGCGGGTATGTGTAGATTTCACACAACAATCTTCATAGGTATGAGCTCTATGGGATTTTTATTCTGTTTAAGTACACTTGCTTTTTATGATGATCTTTCGATCCTAAAAAAAAAAAGAAGAAGAAGAAGAAATCTTGTGATCATGCATTGGTCGGCTTAACTTGCCTCAACTTTGAATCAAATATATGAAGTATATAGCTAAACAAACATCAATTGATTTAAAAAAAATAAATGGATTGAAAAGAACGAATGTTGAAATATTGATTTTTTTTTTTATGATCTCTTTACTTTTCTCCTTGATAATTCTATGCTTTTATCATAGTACCTCATGCATTTTTTTTATGGATTTTGTAAGTCATAGTTGTTTCATTTTAATTTTCAACAGTAGTATGTGATGTTTAAATGATTGTAGGATTTTTATTTTTTTTTTATTATTATTTTTTTTTTGTCTTTGAAAATGGGGTTTTTGTTTGCCAATAGATCACTGCTCCTAGAAAAGGTTAAATGGTTGAAGGTAGGGGACAAAAAAGACATAAAAAAACTATCTCGAGGCCGCCGTTTTTTCTGGGCCGGTGTTATTTGGGCCGTCGAGTCTAATGCAGCCGGCGACTACGCAGAAGCTCATTGTGGTTACAGTTTTGATGTTATCGGGTTCAGACCCGAAAACGGGTACGGGTCTTTGAAGACCGTTAGCATCGGAAAATCTAATTGGATACATGGGAACAAACAATTTGTCGTTCACCAGCTGACAGCTGCTTTTGCTGGTGTGCATGGAAATGTAACCTTCTTTTTTTCGCTGAGAACGAGAAAAATTAGGTGTTGATTTGTTTCTTGATTTTTTGCTGGTGTGCATGGAAATGTAACCTTCATGCTCGAAAGGCTTTCCTCTCAAACTCGGCCCAAGCTTGAACATAGTTAGTTGATTTGTTTCTTGATTTTTTGCAGGGAACATGATGAAAAGAATGTGGACATTGATGAGAATCTTGACGACCCATAGTTATGTGCGACCATTTTGTGTGATATGTACAAGTACTTAGAGCTCCTGAGGTTTGAATAGTTTGTTTGTGTGCTGATAAAGTGTAGCCTCGTTTTCTTATAGCAAGACTTGTTGTCTAGGTCCTTTTATTGGTTAACTATAAATAATTACGCAATTTCATTGATTAATTTATAAATTTTTAATTATTGGTACATTTTTCAATATATAAATAGTACTATCATTAATGCAAATAAAAATAGCATAAGAAATAAGTTTTAATTATTAATATATTGAAAACATTTTTTAATTTTTTATTACATATTTGATAGTATTATATATATATATATATATATATATATATATATTGATTTTTAATAAGTTTTAATTATATATATTATTTAAGAATATTTTCACTTTTTTTAAGTTTTAATAAATTTTTTACACTTTTACACTTTTTTTTTGGGTACAAGAACACTTTTTAATGAAAATTGTACGCTACTAATATAAACACTAATCTCAGGCCATTTTTAATTTGGCATTCTTGTAAATTTACTTGGTACATTTTTTTAATATATACTGAATTTTTATAAAAAGTCAGGGGGGACCATGGGCCCTCCTGGGCCCCATCTACATCCGTCCTTGCCTAGGACGCGATTTGCAGTCAACAATTCATTGGTGTGCTATGTACGGTCATCCAAAAGATCAGTCAGATCGCCATAAATTTTAAGCCGTAAGTTCTCTACGCAAACCGTTAGATCCGCTGCGCATAGGTTTACGTTTTGCTATTGAATTCGTGATTTGTGCATAATGAGATCTTCATTGATCCCAACATCTTGTTTAGTGCGACAGTTACGGTCAAAATGACCAATCTTACCACAGTAGTAGCAAAACCCTTGAATATTCTTGTACCTGAAATCTAGCCAATGATTTTCCTCCCCCAATTTGATGTAGGTTTTCTCTGGGAATAGGTTGCTGATAGATTGAGTTCCGCAAAGATCCTGACTATCTGGCCATGTAGGGACCCTGGTACTAGAAGCAAGACATCTAGCACTTTGTCTATCTTTTTACCAATTTTGAGCCATGTATCCACTGAGATACACTGCAATGGAAGGTTGAGCAATTGTACCCAAATCTGGATTTTTTTCTTCCTCTGTTGTGAACTCAAGGTTGTCTGGATTCCAGGGCTTGAGAAGAAGTATTGACCATCGAAGGACCAAGTTTTACCCGTCAATATTTTCTCCATGCCCTCTTCTTCTTGAAAGATGAATTGAAATTTATTGGTTCCCAGGTTCTTGACTGTGAAAGGTTTAGAGGTGGACCAAATGCTGCTCAGAGTAGTTTTTAATCCATTGAAATTGATTTTTTTTTTCTCAAAATTGTTCCCTATAAGACTGAGCTGACATTCCTGGAGCCCGATAGCAATATCTGAATCA